GTTACTATGTTGTAATTATTGACAACATTGTAGTGTTTCCTATTTCGTTAAGCATCTAGATGTTTTGTCGGCAGTTCGTTCATCTCTGATGGGCTGCTTCCAACCATTTCTTATAAGCACCGTTCATCACATGACCAAAAGCCTTAACTCCACTCTGGTACTTTTTTCTTTGTAATTAATCTTAACACTTTAACTACCTTTTACACGCATGCTTATAGTCAAATAGAAATTAGGAAAGAAAATTATATTTTTCCTCAGTTAAAAATATTTGTCAAGTATGCACTACAAGAAGAACTCAAATTTGTGATAGAATATTTATGACGAAAACATCTGTTTTGTAATGAATTTGTGGTGATTTTATGAAAAAATTCATTAATGTGAACGAAATTTGTGATGATGATGATCTGTCATAATTCTCTTACAAATTTGTGAAGAAAATAACAGTATGTCCCAATTCGGTCACAAATTTATGACAAAAATTAGGATATCCATCATAATTTCGTCAGAAATTTTGTGACTGACATATTAATCCTTCACGAACTTTTCTCTAGCTAATTTCTTTTATGAAAAATAAAGTTTAGGACGGACTATTCCGTCACAAAAATTGTGGTGGCCATATGAATCTTTCACAAAATTGTAACGAAAATAAGAATTCAGTCACAAAATGTTTAACAAGGCAAATATTCATAAGAATTATTGGATTTCGTGACGGAACTGTGAGGGATTATTGTTGAAGAATTTAACAATATGCAGATGAAAAGAGAAATTGAGATTGAGAATTTTCGAGAGAGAATCAGTCAAGAGTTGTGCTTTGTATATCGATACAACTGACTCAACTAGAAAGAAGAAGAAGCTACAGTATATTTAACTAACTAACCACCTTAGGACAACTGTACATCACTAACACTAACTAATACTATAGTTAAGTTAAGCTAACTAAGGTTAACTACTAGGGTTAACCTATATTCTTTACACCCCCCTCAAGCTAGTACTAAGAAAGATGTTGAGTAGACCTAGCTTGGACAGCAAATATGAATGCTGAATGCGACCAAGTCCCTTTGTGACTATATCAGCTTCCTGCTCAGTTGTAGGACAATAGAGAGTAGAAACAAGACCATGTTGAATCTTTTCACGAATGAAATGACAATCAATATCAATGTGCTTCGTACGTTCATGAAATACAGGATTGTCAGCAATAGCAAGAGCTGATTTGCTATCATTGTAGATAGGCACAGGTGAATTATGATCCACTCCTAGCTCCTTGAGTAAACCAATAATCCATGTAATCTCTGCAATCGTGGATGCTAAGCTGCGATATTCAGCTTCTGCTGAGCTTCTAGAGATAGTGGGCTGCTTCTTAGATTTCCCAAAAATCAAGGAAGAGCCAAGCTTGACGAAATAGCCTGTGACTGACTTTCGTGTGTTGGGACATGCAGCCCAATCTGCATCACAAAATGCTGAAAGTGATTCAGAACACTTAGCAGCCAAGAAAACTCCCAGACCAGGACTGCTTTTGATATATCTAACCACCTTGAGTGCAGCTTCCATATGAGAGACCTTGGGACTATGCATGAATTGGCTCAAACTTTGAACAGCAAAAGAGATATCTGGTCTCGTAACAGTCAAATAAAGAAGCTTACCCAAAAGCCTTTGATATGGCCCTGGATCAGTCAATAATGTGTCATCAGAAGTACCTGTATGAGTGTCAAATTCAGCAGTAGTGAGCTTCACATTTGGCTCCATAGGACATGAAACAGGTTTAGAGCCTAATAACCCCAACTCAGCTATGAGTTCTAAGGCATACTTGCGTTGATGCATTAATATACCATCACTATATCGTGCAAATTCTATGCCCAGGAAGTACTTAAGCTCTGCTAGGTCTTTGATCTTAAAAGAGGTTTGTAAATCATCCTTAGTATGTTGGATCATTATGGGATTATCTCCAGTGATAAGAAGGTCATCAACATAGACCAGAACTACCATCATGTGATCTCCTGATCTTTTGATGAACAGAGAATAATCCAAATGACCCTGTTGAAATCCAGCATCCACCAAGGCTGATGTGAGCTTGAGATTCCACTGTCTAGATGCCTGCTTAAGTCCATAGAGGGACTTAAGTAGTTTGCAAACTCTGAATTCAGCTTTTGGTCCATTGACACCTTGGGGTACCTCCATATATACCTCCTCAGATAGATCTCCTTGCAAGAAAGCATTGTAAACATCCATTTGATGAATAGACCACTGCCTTGAAGCTGCAATAGACAACACACTTCTGACAGTAACCATTTTCACCGCAGGTGAAAAATTTTTTTGGTAGTCTAAACCTTCTCTCTGATTATACCCTTTGGCCACCAATCTAGCTTGAACCTTTCAATTTCTCCTGATGCCTTATATTTAATCTTATAAACCCACTTGCATCCTATCACTACTAAAAAATGGCTCATTTCCGACCGAAATTTCCGACGGAAAATTGTAGTCGGAAATTTCTGACGGAATCGGTCGGAATATGCATAAAAATATTTTTTTCAATTTTTGATAATACTTACGACTAATATTCCGTCTATGTCCGTCGTAAATTTTGGCGGAAAATTCCGCATCACTTGTAGCGACCAATTCGGTTGGAAACAATTAAAAAAAAAGAAATAAATAAAAAAAAATAGCGACCGATTCGGCCGGAAATGTTTAGTAAAACGAGGTTGACTACTTTTGACCAAATTACCGACCGAATCGGTCGGAGAGTTTTCTAAAAAACCCTTCCTTCTCCTCTTTTCTTCCTTCTCTCTTCTCTTTCTCTCACTTAAACTTCCCCCACCTAAACCCGCCGCTTCCATCAGCGAGCAGCACTCGTCGGCGCCGCTGCAAGTCCGTCGAGATCCTCCACTGCCAGGTAAGTTACCCCCCACCCAAACCCTCCTTTGTTATAAGAATTTAAGGATTATTGCAGATCTGTTGCTCTGTGTTCCAGTTGTTAAAACAAAAGAGTTAAGGCATGAAATTATAGTGACGATGGTTCTGTGATTATTGTAAGAGCTGAAAAGTGATTATTGTTTGATTTGGAAAACACCAACCAAGAGCTGAAAGTGAATTGAAGGACCTATACATCAATTCAGCAGCGTATGTGTAGTCAAGTCTATGTTGCACTTTTTTTAATGGCTGTATAGTCTATGTTGTAGTTAGTCTAGACTATATTTTTCACATTGTAGTAACTGGTTCTGTTTCATGGTTATTGCAGTCAAATTGATGTGTCAGGAAACAGGAAAGTTGTTGTTATCCATGTGCCCTACAGACTGAGGAAAGCTTTCCGCAAGGTTCATGTTCGCCTTGTTAGAGAGTTGGAGAAGAAATTCAGTGGCAAGGTAACTATTGAATTATTTTCATTATTTTCTCTCTTCATCATTGCCATTGAGAATGTTTTCAAGAATTGGGTTTAGAGTGTTTAATCTGAAGTGCACATGCTATTTTAGGCATTTGATGGTTATCAAATGTGGTTGTGATTTGTAATGAATTCATTCTTCATAATTCCCATTATGATTCGTCAATACCTGATCCCTTCCTCATGGACATTTTGTTTGTCCTGTATTCCGATTTGGGTTAAATAATATCTTCTTAGGCATCAAGGAGGAAATATTTGACATTGCCTTTTGGGATTGGCATTTGTGAAATTCACATACTGCTATTTAGGCCTAGTGGTATTGGCATTATTAGAGTTCTTGCTTCCGCTCTTTTTTGAATTACAGATTTGGTACCATATGGATAGTTGAGACCTTTTCTTAATAGTCTTTAACGGAGCGCAACGTTTGAAGTCCTATTATATATTTTGTATAAAAGTCTTAATACTTCATCCATGGAATAGCAGATTAAATTGTTTGTGTCGTCTGTTCTCAATTGTGTCTTGTTGCTGGATATTCACATACTATATGAAGAGGAGTTTAATATCCTGAATTATACTACTTCCATAAGTAGGATCAATATAGTGTAGGAAACCTCTCTTTGCTATGTTATTGTTGTTCTGGATCTTACTGATGAATGTGCAGTTAAAATAAGAACAAGAACTGTAGTTTTTTCTTTTAGTTGTTACAATTGACTTGTTTTTTGATGGAAAAATCTGCTAATTACTCACATAATTAGTTCAGTATTTCTTTTTTTTGGTTTCCCACCCGGTGTCCGGTACTCACATTGGAGTCCGACTATATCTGAATTCGCGCCGCGTAGGGCCCCATTCGGGGGGGAAGCGCTCCCTACCAAGGATTTTTTCATACCCAGGGCTCGAACTCGAGACCTCTGGTTAAGGGAAGAGCAGTCTCATCCACTGCACCACATCCTTTGGTGGTATTAGTTCAGTATTATGTCTACACGTATAAAAGCAATAATGATAAAAAATATTAATTTGAGAAATCATTAATTAATTTAGATTATATGAACATTTAAGAAGCTATTCAAATTTAATTAGTATATTCAAAGACTTATATTATTTAGAATAGGGATTAGTGTGAGATTTCGAGTGTTAAAAAATATTAATTTAAAGAATAAAATATATTAATTAAAGTGCTTTGACACAATGATATGTATATTTCTAAAAGGAACCTTTGAAAGAGTATAACATTGTAAGCAGTTTAAATAAATTAAATTATTTTAATATCTCATTTATAGATTTATATTTGTGTAGATGGAATTTGTGCATCGTAGATGGATGTATAATAGGAATTATCATAATCGTGCAGGGTTGAGAGATGAATTTATTGAAGGGGTTGCTGAATTTATTGCTAAGGCTCAAACACTTGATGATTTTCTTATTGGAGGAAGGATTAGGTGTCCTTGTGTGAAATGTAAATGTGTTAAGTTATTGATAATCGTCCCCCACAAGGACGGGTAAGAAGGTTCTTATACAAATTTTTATGTTTTGAATGTACATTTAGATATGTTAACATTAAGGAGTATTTATTTGCAATTAAAAGGTGTTTATTAATTATATATATATATGTTAATTTAATGCAGGTTTTTGCCATCCTTTCAAGCTACACATTTGGTTACAGATTCTATGAAGCCATTTTATCATGAGCCGTGGACTTCTTGGAGACAGATACCGTACAACATCAGAGAGCAAATGTGGAATCAATTTAGGGTAAAAATTAATTATATTTATTTAATAATTATCGTCATCATCTAATGTTACTTTTTTATATTGCAGACAAGGTGCACATGGCATCCTCGGCATCAAAATGCAATAAATAGTATTTTTGAGAAGAAAGTTGCTATAAGGATTAAAGATACTATGTGCGCTGCTCGGAATTCCGGTAATATGACGGACTGGTTAAGAGAAGATGTTTGGGATAAACTTCTTGAGAAATAGAATACTCCAGAATGGAAAGCAAAGAGTGAACAAGCAAAGGCAAACCGTGCCTCTAGAAAAGGTGGCTCGTTGCACACAGGAGGTTCGATTACTTTTGAGGCCCATAAACTAAGAATGGTAATTATTTATAAAAAATTTCTTAGTTTTACATATAGAATTTTACGTTTGTAAAGTCTAACTCATGCTTTTTCTTATGAAGGAAAAGGAAAGATGACGAGATGTGAGTTATGCTGAGGTCTTTGAGGAGTTGCATAAGAAAAAGGAAAAGGATGGTACAAGAGAACACTGGGTGGAAACGCGTGCGTCAGACACATATGTAAAATTCTAACTTCATAAATAATTATGGTTTATTAATATTAGTTTGTTTACATAATAGTTATGTTTTTCATTTCAGGAAGATTATCATAAAAGGTTGGAAGAATGGCAACAAAATCAGCCTCCTTCAACTCAACCAACACCTGATGATATGGCTTCATTGTGGACAGAGGCAGCGGGTAGAGCAAACAAAGGCAGAGTCTACGGACTAGGAGTACATCGACCTACAAGTCATCCAAACCCACTCTTAGCCAATTCTTCTTCTCCTCAAAGTCAAGAACAGATGGAAGATATGAGAAACAAAATTCGTGAATTGAAGCAACAATTGGACTCCCAATACGAAACATTTGTTAAGATGCAGAAATTCATGCGTAAACATAGGCATGATTTATCTGATGATCAGGATGAACAAACTGAATCTGATGTGTAGTAGTTTAGTTGTGATATTTTGGTTGATTGGTAAACTTGATTGTGAGAGACAACTTTATGTATTGCTTTTAAACTTGAATATGGGCTGTTATTTGGATGTTTTTATGCCCAAAATTGTTAGGTTTAAATGTTGGTATTCTTGGTTTAAGTTGTGTTAATGGTTGGCATTGTTGGTTTAGAATTTGTTAATGTATTGCTAATTTAGATAGTGTTAATGTATTGTTGTTTCGAATTATTGTATTGATGTATCGTTTGTTTAGATTGTTGGTTGGTATTTTTTTGTTTGTGATAGTTTGACAGGTGGGTAGCTTGAAATTGGGCAGAATTCTGCCCAATTTTGTACAAAATTCCGACTGAAACGGTCGGAAAAATCCCCAGATTTAACAATAAATTGTCAGATTTCCGACTGATTCAGTCGGAAATTGTTTTAAAAAAATTAATATTCAGAAATTTTCGACGGATTCCGTCGGAAATTAAATAAATTTTAATAATTATTAACTTCCGACAGATTCTGTTGGAAATTTCAAAAAAAATAATTTAATATTCAATAGTTTTCGACGGATTCCGTCGGAAAATAAATAAAATTTAATTTTTAATTATTAATATTCCTTGTATCATTACGACCGATTCAATCGGTAAATTCCAACCACTTTAGTCGGAAAGGTGAATTATTTGGTAGTCTGACCTTTTCGAAATTTGCGACCACTTTAGTCGGAAATCACCGACAGATTCGATCGAAAATTGTTTTCCGACCATCTTTTTTCCGACCGACCAAATTCGGTCGGAAAGTAGTCGGAAATACGTGATTTCCGACCGAATTCCAACCGTTTTGGCCGTTGGAAATCTACCATTTTCTAGTAGTGTATTGCCTTTTGTCCTTGTGGCAAGGATACCAGTTCCCAAGTCTTATTGTCCTCCAATGCTTTAATTTCTGCCTGCATTGCCTCTACCGATCTCTTGTCCTTTACTGCCTCTGAATATGATGTAGGTTCCATTTCCACTGAAAATTTTGCCAAGTAGCTTTGATATTTTGAAGAGATACCTTCATATCCAATCACCTCTAAAATAGGGTACTTGCAGCATCTTGTAGAACTTCTCTTGTCATCTCTAACATAATCCTTAAGCCATATGGGAGGCTTAGATACTCTTGTGGATTTTCTAGAGTCCCCATCATCAGGCAAAATAAGAGAGTCACCAGGACTATCCACACTGTTATATTCAATAGGGTGTGAAATGTCCTGCTCATCTGAGATAACTGGAGTTAGAGTAGGAGAGCATGGCATATTGGTTCTCTCAATATGTGTATCAGTAGCAGAACTGACTGCTTTCAGTTCTTCATCAAAATCTTATCTTGGCACTGGAATTTTATCCAGGAATAATGATTCTGATGATCCTTCTGCTGTGTGGAAGGGAAATATATCCTCATAGAACACTACATATATGCTTATAAAGAATACTCTATTCTCCAAATTCAAAAGTCTGTAACCTTTCTGATGTGCAGCATATTCTAGAAAGACTGAACTCACTGCTCGAGGAGCAAATTTATCATGGCCTGTCAGATTAGTAGCAAAACATAAACATCCAACTACCTTTAAATGTGCCAATGAAGGTGGCTTATTCAGAAGTAATTCATATGGTGACTTATGTCCCAAGACAGAAGAGGGAATTCTGTTGATTATATATACATCAGCATCAATACAATGTCCCCAATATCTAACAGGTAACTGGCCTTGAAATCTGATTGCTCGAGCAGTCTCCAGTATATGTCTATGTCTCCTTTCCACAACTCCATTTTGTTGGGGAGTATATGGACAGGAGCTTTGATAAACAATCCCATGCATTTGAAATAAGTCATTACATGCACTGTTAAAAAACTCACTCCCATTGTCTGATCTAAACATCTTAATTTGCTTCCCAAACTGTGTTTTGATCATACTAATAAAGTTCTTGAGTAAGAAAATAACATCAGATTTGAGTCTCATAAGAAATACCTAAGTCCATCTGGTAAAATCATCAACCAATGTAAGAAAGTATTTCATGCCATTATGCGTAGCAACCTTATAGGGTCCCCACACATCCATATGGATCAAATCAAAAACATGTAAACTTCTACTAGTACTAGTTGGAAAAGGTGCTCTAGTTTGTCTAGCTAGAGGACAAATTTCACATTTAGACAGTGAGTCATTATTTATTCTACTACCATAGTGTTGTATACTAGGAATCCTTCTTAGAACTTGAATTGGAACATGTCCTGTTCTTCTGTGCCATATTTCCATGCCTCCTTCTTTACTGGTAGCTGCAAAAGCTCTATTCATAGTCTTCCCTAAAGTTGTTGACAATATGTACAGATCTTCTTCTCTTCTACCAATGTCCTTCACCCTCCCAGATAAGAGGTCCTGGAACACACAACATTTTTGGAAAAAGGTAACACTGCATTTAAGATCTTCTGTCACTTTAGAGATTGACATGAGGTTAAACTTAAAAGCATGTACACATAACACATCTTTCAGTACATCACCTCCTGTGAGTTGACACTCCCCTATATGTGAGATTGATGCTGAATCTTCAGTAGGTAATTGCACTTGTCCTGAATTTCCTACTGAAGTTTTATTTTTCAGTAAACTCTTATCACCAGTCATGTGGTTAGTAGCACCAGTATCTACTATCCATTTGCAACGTTCTAAGTTCTCACATAAGGCTACATTACCACAAAAGCACTTACCTGCCATGTTTGCACTAGTCCCTGCAGTAGAGCCTTTGTTCAGCAATTGCAACAACTGGTTATATTGTTCTTTAGTAAAGAACTGAGCTAGTTCAACATTACTGCTTAGCTGATATATGCTTGTGGTTGGTGAAGCTATCACTCCTTGCTGTCCAGATCCATCTATCATGACTGCATTTGCTTTCTTCTTCTGCTTGAAATCAGATGGATAACCAATAATCTTGTAACAGTTCTCCTTCAAGTGCCCTGTCTTATTACAAAATTCACACCTCATCAATTTATAACATTCATTTCTAGTATGGCCTTTCATATGACAGAAATCACATTCTAAGCTATAGTTTCTCCTTGGATTAGATGTAGATTGAGCAATAAACAACGCAGTTTGATCATTATGCCCAGTTTGTCCATAGGTACCACCAGTAAATGATTTCCTGCTTTCTTCCTGAACTACCATAGCATAAGCCTTATCTATAGATGGCAAGCTTGGCATTAATAGAATCTAACTCCTTGCTTGCTCAAAATTGTCATTCAATCCCATCAAAAATTGTAGCAGTCGTTGATACTCCAATTGTTCAATATACTCAGTGGCTGATGTAGGAGGTGGCAGTATGGAGTCATATTCTGCCCAAAAGTCTTTTAGTTTGGTGAAATAAATTGATACTGACGAAATCCCTTGTGTTAGGGTGAATAATTCCTTATGCAAGTAATACAATCTCGATGCATTCACTTTGTCAAAACGTTCCTTGAAAGCAGCCCATACTTTCTGTGCATTCGAAGAAAATAGAACTCCTGTTACCAAATCTCTGCTCACATTGCTCATGAGCCATAAAGTCACAATCGCATTGCAACTATCCCACTGACTTTCCAGATTTGGACCAAAATCCTCCTTCGATGTTGATCCATCAACTAAACATAATTTATTCTTTCCTAACAATGCTACTCCAAAGAGAGTAATTTTCCATACCTGTCAAAATGAGTCCCACAGACATCGATCCCGGACCATCAGATGCATGCAAGTAGAGAGGATGATTATGATCTAATACAATCGAGCTAGGTATCGTTCCGATGCTCGTATTGTCTCCATTGTTCGCATTATCGGTCGAGTTCTCAGGAGGCGCCATTGATAGACCACAAAATTAGGGTTCAAAGCTTCTGAATTTGAGCAGATTCTCTCGAATCATCTTCAATTCTGCGAAGAAATTGCCCGGAATCACTCGATCAATGCTCTGATACCATGAAGAATTTAACAATATGCAGATGAAGAGAGAAATTGAGATTGAGAATTTTCGAGAGAGAATCAGTCAAGAGTTGTGCTCTGTATATCGATACAATTGACTCAACTAGAAAGAAGAAGAAGCTACAGTATATTTAACTAACTAACCACCTTAGGACAGTTGTACATCACTAACACTAACTAATACTATAGTTAAGTTAAGCTAATTAAGGTTAACCTATATTCTTTACAATTGTTGGAACATGCGCAGCGGAAGCAAGCATACAACCAGGCATCAAATACATGTAAAGTAGACAACGCAATAATAACGAGATTAGAAGCACTAACCTCTTGAAATAGTTGCACAAATCTTCCAGACAGCAAGAATCCAGGGCTGCAGTCTTCTGCTATTTGCCTAGTAAAACCTTGGACGATTTTGCTTTTAGGTGGGCAAGAACAACACAACTCTAGAAAAGTAAGTTATTGGGTGAAATTAGTCTTCTATTAATAGAGTTATTTTGGTCGAAAATCCTCCTCCAAAAACGTGTAGGATTCTCATTCTACAAGTAGAATCCTACTCCAACTCTATTAGATGACTTTTCTCCCAAGTCACTTTTTATTTTACCAACGTCTTGTCCAGGCTTTTACTAGGTATAGCAGGGACCACAGAAATAATAAGAGGCTACCAATTATAGTATTAATTCGAAATTAGCATGAATTAATTCTTACTACAATTAATTGTAATTTATTCCACTAAAAAACTGCAATTGAACTCCTCAATATGAATTTCGAAAATTCAATAACACTTATTTTAACTTCCCATGTTAAGATCTCAAATACTAGTTAATTAAATTAAATTACTGAAAATTTAATTTAATCAAATAATTAAATCCTTTACAATTTCGCTTAAAATATTTCATGTGACGGATACAAAATTCACCGACCGGGTTTTCACATTAAAACTTATAAGCTTACATAAATGGTATCATCAAACTCAAAACCGAGTCATGGATTCTATCAACTAATTATTATTCACAAATGTTATTCGTTATTGTCCAATCTATTAGGCATACACTAACTCTAAATAGAGTCGTACCTTGTGATAAATCAAAACAATAAACAAATTACACAGATCATAATAATTATATCAAGATTAGGAGTAT